ATACATGGCTCATTGATACATGGCCCATTGACACATGGCCCATTGATACATGGCCCATTGATACATGGCCCATTGATACATGGCCCATTGATACATGGCCCATTGACACATGGCCCATTGATACATGGCCCATTGATACATGGCCCATTGAATACATGGCCCATTGAATACATGGCCCATTGAATACATGGCCCATTGAATACATGGCCCATTGAATACATGGCCCATTTGATACATGGCCCATTGATACATGGCCCATTGACACATGGCCCATTGACACATGGCCCATTGACACATGGCCCATTGATACATGGCCCATTGACACATGGCCCATTGACACATGGCCCATTGATACATGGCCCATTGACACATGGCCCATTGACACATGGCCCATTGATACATGGCCCATTGAATACATGGCCCATTGATACATGGCCCATTGATACATGGCCCATTGATACATGGCCCATTGATACATGGCCCGTTGATACATGGCCCATTGATACATGGCCCATTGACACATGGCCCATTGATACATGGCCCATTGACACATGGCCCATTGATACATGGCCCATTGATACATGGCCCATTGATACATGGCCCATTGACACATGGCCCATTGATACATGGCCCATTGATACATGGCCCATTGATACATGGCCCATTGACACATGGCCCATTGATACATGGCCCATTGAATACATGGCCCATTGAATACATGGCCCATTGAATACATGGCCCATTAAATACATGGCCCATTGATACATGGCCCATTGATACATGGCCCATTGATACATGGCCCATTGACACATGGCCCATTGACACATGGCCCATTGACACATGGCCCATTGAATACATGGCCCATTGACACATGGCCCATTGACACATGGCCCATTGACACATGGCCCATTGATACATGGCCCATTGACACATGGCCTATTGACACATGGCCCATTGATACATGGCCCATTGACACATGGCCCATTGACACATGGCCCATTGATACATGGCCCATTGAATACATGGCCCATTGATACATGGCCCATTGATACATGGCCCATTGATACATGGCCCATTGATACATGGCCCGTTGATACATGGCCCATTGATACATGGCCCATTGACACATGGCCCATTGATACATGGCCCATTGACACATGGCCCATTGATACATGGCCCATTGATACATGGCCCATTGATACATGGCCCATTGACACATGGCCCATTGATACATGGCCCATTGATACATGGCCCATTGATACATGGCCCATTGACACATGGCCCATTGATACATGGCCCATTGAATACATGGCCCATTGAATACATGGCCCATTGAATACATGGCCCATTAAATACATGGCCCATTGATACATGGCCCATTGATACATGGCCCATTGATACATGGCCCATTGATACATGGCCCATTGACACATGGCCCATTGATACATGGCCCATTGACACATGGCCCATTGATACATGGCCCATTGACACATGGCCCATTGATACATGGCCCATTGACACATGGCCCATTGACACATGGCCCATTGATACATGGCCCATTGATACATGGCCCATTGATACATGGCCCATTGATACATGGCCCATTGATACATGGCCCATTGATACATGGCCCATTGATACATGGCCCATTGATACATGGCCCATTGATACATGGCCCATTGACACATGGCCCATTGATACATGGCCCATTGAATACATGGCCCATTGATACATGGCCATAATACATGGCCCATTGAATACATGGCCCATTGAATACATGGCCCATTGATACATGGCCCATTGATACATGGCCCATTGATACATGGCCCATTGATACATGGCCCATTGACACATGGCCCATTGATACATGGCCCATTGACACATGGCCCATTGATACATGGCCCATTTACACATGGCCCATTGACACATTGCCCATTGATACATGGCCCATTGATACATGGCCCATTGATACATGGCCCATTGATACATGGCCCATTGATACATGGCCCATTGATACATGGCCCATTGATACATGGCCCATTGATACATGGCCCATTGACACATGGCCCATTGATACATGGCCCATTGATACATGGCCCATTGACACATGGCCCATTGATACATGGCCAATTGATACATGGCTCATTGATACATGGCCCATTGATACATGGCCCATTGACACATGGCCCATTGACACATGGCCCATTGACACATGGCCCATTGACACATGGCCCATTGATACATGGCCCATTGATACATGGCCCATTGATACATGGCCCATTGATACATGCCCATTGATCCACGGCCCATTGATACATGGCCCATTGAATACATGGCCCATTGATACATGGCCCATTGCCACATGGCCCATTGACACATGGCCCATTGACACATGGCCCATTGATACATGGCCCATTGATACATGGCCCATTGATACATGGCCCATTGATACATGCCCCATTGATACATGGCCCACTGAATACATGGCCCATTGAATACATGGCCCATTGATACATGGCCCATTGATACGTGGCCCATTGATACATGGCCCATTGACACATGGCCCATTGATACATGGCCCATTGACACATGGCCCATTGATACATGGCCCATTGACACATGGCCCATTGACACATGGCCCATTGACACATGGCCCATTGATACATGGCCCATTGAATACATGGCCCATTGATACATGGCCCATTGATACATGGCCCGTTGATACATGGCCCGTTGATACATGGCCCATTGATACATGGCCCATTGATACATGGCCCATTGATACATGGCCCATTGACACATGGCCCATTGATACATGGCTCATTGATACATGGCCCATTGAAACATGGCTCATTGATACATGGCCCATTGACACATGGCCCATTGATACATGGCCCATTGATACATGGCCCATTGACACATGGCCCATTGATACATGGCCCATTGATACATGGCCCATTGAATACATGGCCCATTGAATACATGGCCCATTGAATACATGGCCCATTGAATACATGGCCCATTGAATACATGGCCCATTGATACATGGCCCATTGATACATGGCCCATTGACACATGGCCCATTGACACATGGCCCATTGACACATGGCCCATTGATACATGGCCCATTGACACATGGCCCATTGACACATGGCCCATTGATACATGGCCCATTGACACATGGCCCATTGACACATGGCCCATTGATACATGGCCCATTGAATACATGGCCCATTGATACATGGCCCATTGATACATGGCCCATTGATACATGGCCCATTGATACATGGCCCGTTGATACATGGCCCATTGATACATGGCCCATTGACACATGGCCCATTGATACATGGCCCATTGACACATGGCCCATTGATACATGGCCCATTGATACATGGCCCATTGATACATGGCCCATTGACACATGGCCCATTGATACATGGCCCATTGATACATGGCCCATTGATACATGGCCCATTGAATACATGGCCCATTGATACATGGCCCATTGAATACATGGCCCATTGAATACATGGCCCATTGAATACATGGCCCATTAAATACATGGCCCATTGATACATGGCCCATTGATACATGGCCCATTGATACATGGCCCATTGATACATGGCCCATTGACACATGGCCCATTGATACATGGCCCATTGACACATGGCCCATTGATACATGGCCCATTGATACATGGCCCATTGACACATGGCCCATTGATACATGGCCCATTGACACATGGCCCATTGATACATGGCCCATTGACACATGGCCCATTGATACATGGCCCATTGATACATGGCCCATTGATACATGGCCCATTGATACATGGCCCATTGATCCACGGCCCATTGATACATGGCCCATTGAATACATGGCCCATTGATACATGGCCCATTGCCACATGGCCCATTGACACATGGCCCATTGACACATGGCCCATTGATACATGGCCCATTGATACATGGCCCATTGATACATGGCCCATTGATACATGCCCCATTGATACATGGCCCACTGAATACATGGCCCATTGAATACATGGCCCATTGATACATGGCCCATTGATACGTGGCCCATTGATACATGGCCCATTGACACATGGCCCATTGATACATGGCCCATTGACACATGGCCCATTGATACATGGCCCATTGACACATGGCCCATTGACACATGGCCCATTGACACATGGCCCATTGATACATGGCCCATTGAATACATGGCCCATTGATACATGGCCCATTGATACATGGCCCATTGACACATGGCCCATTGACACATGGCCCATTGATACATGGCCCATTGAATACATGGCCCATTGATACATGGCCCATTGATACATGGCCCATTGACACATGGCCCATTGATACATGGCTCATTGATACATGGCCCATTGAAACATGGCTCATTGATACATGGCCCATTGACACATGGCCCATTGACACATGGCCCATTGATACATGGCCCATTGACACATGGCCCATTGATACATGGCCCATTGATACATGGCCCATTGGCACATGTGTCAACAAACACACGCACACTGAGACACACACACAGACACAAACACACATAGGCAGTTGTGATATTTTATTCAGCGCTTTGGAAGAGGAGTACGCAGCACCCCTGCCTTCTGCGCACATCCAGTTCTCCCATGCCCCAGCACGTCCCCTCACCTCACGTCCCCTCCTAGTCACCTCACGTCCCCTCCTAGTCACCTCACGTCCCCTCCTAGTCACCTCACGTCCCCTCCTAGTCACCTCACGTCCCCTCCTAGTCACCTCACGTCCCCTCCTAGTCACCTCACGTCCCCTCCTAGTCACCTCACGTCCCCTCCTAGTCACCTCACGTCCCCTCCTAGTTACCCCACGCACCACAGTGAGGCGGATGAGAGCAGCCTTGGACGAGGAGTAGGCAGCACCGCCGAGGAGAATGCTCCCCCAGGAGTATCTTCCCTCCCCCTCTTCCCTTGCCCTTCCACTTCCCCCACTCACCACAGTGAGGCGGATGAGAGCCGCCTTGGAGGAGGAGTAGGCCGCACCGCCGGGGAGTATGGCTCCGGGGATACCAGCAGTAGACGCGATGTTGATTACACTCAAAATCGTGCCAGAGTCTCCGTTATTACCCCCTTCACCAACCGTCTCATTCTGCCCCTCTGTTCCTTCCCCCGCCTCGCCTCCTTCCTTCCCTGCTTCACTGCGGAACCCCCCTCGCGTTCCCCCGCCATTCCTCCCCAGCAGGCGCCGAACCACAGCCTTGGAAACGAGCCAGGCGCCTCGGACGTTGGTGTGGAATGACGTGTCGAACTCTGATTGGCTGATGTCAATCGCGTCGACCTTTTTCCCTGCGAAATTTCAGCACATGTCAAAATCAGAGTCAGCCAAAGTCAAGGCAAGTCAACGTCAGACGTTGCACCCTGCTCACCTCGGAACCCCGCGTTGTTCACCAGCACGCCTATCAGCATCCCATACTCTCCAAACCAGAAGGAAAGAAAGTCAGCACAAGTAAAAAAGAGTCAACCAGAGTCAACTCCCCTCACCTCGGAACCCCGCGTTGTTCACCAGCACGTCTATCCGCCCGAACGCGTCCCACGCCGCCTCCACCGCCGCGTCTACCGCCGCCTCGTCCGCCGCCACATCCATCGCCACTGCGCGCATGCGCCCCGGCATCTCATCCCCAAGCGCGGTTTGAGCTGTTACGTTAGAAGCTGTTCCGATACAGTCACAAGACGCGTCCACCGCCACAGCGCGCATCTGCCCTGGCGCTTCGTTTCTCAGCGCCTCATCTCCCCTCCGATTCAAGTCAAAGACCGTCTCCCCGGCGCCCATTCCTTCCCCATCTCCGCGGATCATCTCCGTCTCTCTCCGCATTTCTTCCGCCTCCGCGCACAGCTGCGCCAGCCGGTCCACGCGCCGAGCTGCGGCGACCACTTGGCATCCACGTGCCACGAGGAAGAGCGCGAGATCGTGGCCGATTCCGGACGAGGCGCCCGTCACCAGAGCGACCTTCCCGCGTACTGATAGCTTATCGAGGCCCCATCGGCGCGCAGAGCTGGCTGACATAGCGTCGCGTCGCGTATTTAGCACCAGCCGCGATAATAGTCGAGCTGGATGGTCTTAATTCTATTCTGCTAACTAATTTGCGAGAATACAATCAGCGGGGAAGGAGGTGATTTGATTGCCCCCATGATTTATGATGCTGCGTGATTTGACAATTCAGCACCTTTTGTGGCGAACAAGTCGCGAAGTTCTCACAATTCGCAGATCGTCGCCTGAAGTAGGCTTCGCGGTGGCGGTCTCATTGACGAGCTTTCGCTAGGAGTATCTTCGCAAAAGCGGGGACCGCTCGTCTCGCCAGCAAGTGCCGTCGATGAAAGGGTTGGACGCAGAGCGCAATTTCGCCGATCGTTAAAACCTCGCCACGGCAGCCCTCGCCATCGAGCTGTGCTGCCTTCGATGCTGCGCTGGATTCCTTCGGCGCCACGTTGCTTGCGGTCCAGCATTATACTTTGACGAGTACATTCTGTACACTTCAACATGAACTAAGATGAGCTACTCTAGTACAAAGAACAAAGAACTAGTAGGGTTATCAAACATCCATAGAAACCTTCATACAATCGCGTACTCTCCCCAGCACATTCATGTGAACCAACTATAGAGGTTGTCGCGGAACAGTGCCCTTCCCCCAAACAGTTCTTCCTTCAAAATCAAACCACTTCTCCAACCTTCAAGCTCCTCAGTTCCCTGCTGTCTCTAGGCTTCGTCTCAGTTCGAGAAGTCTCTTCGCCTCGCCACTATTTTATTCTTGCCTGTTTACATCAACAAAGACAACCTAGATCAGCCGCCTTGTCGTCGCAACGATATAACCGTCAAGTTACAATAAGAAGCATAGCCGTCGCGATGAGGGAGGACGAGAAGCACGAGAAGATCATTCGAGGCCTGATGAAACTCCCGGAAAACCGAAAATGCTTCAATTGCAGCAGCCTGGTAACACCTTCTTGCCTTTCCTTGCCTTACCGTCGCTCGAGCAAGGTCCTCTTCATAGGTTGCTCGACTTGTGTCCACTCGTCTATGACCTTCCATCGACTCAATGTCGCGACTTTTGAGCCGATTCAAGAGTCACATCCCCCAATCGTCATCAGTTTCCGTCCTTCGATGATAATGATAGCTCTGCCGTTATTTTTTTCTCGACGGTCTCTCTACCATTCGCGTTGTAATGTTTATAACGGGTATATCAGCTTGCCTGACGTTTCTCCTCTCTTCTCTTGTCTCCCCTTCCCTGGTGGCTGCTCGTTCCCTGAACATCGCACTCAACTCATGACACATACCACGTGTACACCATCTGATGCTTGCAGTCTCTCCTCCTTTCTCTCCAACGCCACAGGGACCGCAGTACGTGTGCACCAACTACGCCATCTTCGTCTGCCCATCATGCAGCGGCGTCCAGTTGAGTGCTCCGTTCCCCGTTATCACGCACATCCCCTTTCCTGTCGTTCTTTACCCCTTTCTATTTCCTCTGTGCATTTATTTATTACACCCCTCTCGTCTTTCCCCCACCTTCAGCTCTCCCCTCCCCTCTGTCACATCCCTCACTTCCTAAACGCTAAGGAAACAGCACGCCCTCTCTTTGCAGCTGGTAGATCAGTTTTCAGGCGGCCCAAAACTAGACTATTTTCCGAATTACCAAAGCTAAGGATCCCTCACTTATTCCCCCCTTTTTGCAGCCGCGAGTTCAGCCATCGCATCAAGTCGGTGTCGATGGCCAAGTTCACACCTGAGGAGGTGGCGGCGCTGCAGCAGGGAGGCAACCAGGTGAGGGCTGGTAACCAAGGGTAACCAGGTGAGATGTGGTAACCAGATAGGTGGTAACCGGGTGGGAGTTCAGCCATCGCATCAAGTCAGTGTCGTCAATGGCTACGTTCGAACCGGAAGAGGTGGCGGTGCTGCAGCAGGGAGGCAACCAGGTGAGAGCTGGTAACTAGATGCGGTGGTAACCAGATGGGAGTCGAGCCATCGCATCATCAAGTCCGCGTCAATGGCCAAGTTTTCTCTCCATTCTTTTCGTACTCTCTCCCCTCTCCTCTCTTGCCTTCTCCCTCACTCTTGCCTCTTGTGGCGTTGCAGCGAGCTCGAGAGTATTTCCTCCCAGGGGCCGGTCGAGTGCCGCCCAGCAGCAAGTGAGCTATCGTTTTGAATGTTCCTTTGAGTGCTGTACCTCTGTATGTCCTGTGATTTGTGGGGGATCGGAATGTTTGGAGGTCGTGTCCCGTTTCTCGTCCTCGCGTCTTTCTGTGCGTTGCTCTTGACTCACCTTCGTGACTTTTGAGTCGACTCAAAAGTCACCTCCTTTCTGTGCGTTGCTCTTGGCTCACCTTCGCCCCGCGTCCCCATTTTCCCCTCCCTGGCTCCCTCTCTCCCACTTACCCACCCTTCCACTCACCCGATACCTAAAAAAATCGTCCCTGACCCTTTCCCAATCACCCACCCCCCCAATCACCCTCCCACCCATACCTCCAGCGACCCTCAGGCTGTGAGGGAGTTCATTCGAGCAGTGTTTTTGGAGAGGCGATATGTTGGGCGCCGGTCACGGGAGGTAGGTAGGGTTGATGATGATTATGTAGGCTACACATGCCACCCACCCGCATGCACGTGTGAGGGAGTTCATGCACGAGAGTTCATCCGATCCGATCCGAGCAGTATTTGTGGGGAGGCGATGTGTTGGGCGTTGTTCAGGCGAGGTATGTAGGGATGATGATGATGATGATGATGATGATGATGATGATGATGATGATGATGATGATGATGATGATGATGATGATGATGATGATGATGATGATGATGATGATGATGATGATGATGATGATGATGATGATGATGATGATGATGATGATGATGATGATGATGATGATGATGATGATGATGATGATGATGATGATGATGATGATGATGATGATGGTTGGATCAGAAAGAGATGTGTTGTGGACGATTATTTGATGGCAGTGCATGCCCCTTGCTGGGATACGCATGTGCATATGAGGCGATTCATCCGAGAAGTCCTTGCCCTTTTTGTTTCGCCCTCCCCCAGGGCTCCCCTTTGGGTCGAGCTCACTCTATGGACGGCTCTGCCTCCGCCTCCTTCCCCCAGCCATCCGATCTCCAACGAAGCAGCAGCGCCCGCGCCCCCCCTTCCTTCTCCCCTGCCCAGCACGAGCAGCAGCAGCAGCCTCAGCAGCAGCCCCAGCAGCAGCAGCAGCAGCAGCAGCAGCAGCAGCAGCAGCAGCAGCGGCCGCATCAGCCCCCTCTACCGCCCCGCGCGTCCCCTGTTCTTTCGAGCACCACCACCACGACCAGCACCAGCACTACCGCTCCTAGGTTCCCTGGCGGCAGCAGCAGCTCCACGAGCAGGAGTAAATTCCCTAGCACTAGTAGCACTGTGGATGCGGTAGACGCCCCTGTGCGGGCTGTGACTGACCTGCTGGGAGATGAGGTGGAGCTGAGGGTGTACCACAGCGAACCAGGAAGGGGGAATGCACATGTGTATCGGAATGCCTCCTCCCCCTCTGCTGGCCCTGCTTCTCCCCCCTCTGCTTCTCCCTCTGCTCCCTCTGCTCCCGCTGCTCCCTCTCCTCCCTCTGCTCCGGCCTCTGTCCCTGCCTCCCCACCTGCTGCCGCCCCTGCCACAGCCCCTCATATGCCAACGTCAGCACCCGCTGCCCCTGCACCTGCACCAGCGGCACCCACTGCACCCGCATCAGCGTCAGCTGCCCCCGCGTCTGCGCCCTTGGTTTCTCTCGGCAACCTGATAGACTTTTCGGACGAAGGGGATGGGGATAGCCTCACTCTCCCCCCTGCTGCGCCTGTGCCCGAGCCCAAGCAGTGGCAGCTCCAGGAGCAAGGCGAGGCTGGAGTAGGAAGGGAAGGAGCAGCAACTGGTGAGCAGCGGGCTGCAGGGGTGGGAGCAGCAGCAGGGGAGCAGCGAGAACAGGTGGCTCGAGAGGAAGCAGCAGCAGCAGCAGCAGCAGCAGCTGGGGCACAAGTGGAAGCGCAGAGCAGCGGCAGCAGCAGCATTGCCAATGGGTTTGCCTCCTGGGCTCAGTTTGATGACAGCCCCATGCCAGCTATGCCTGCACCAGCAATGCCCGCACCAGCTGTGCCTGCACCCACAATGCCTGCAGTCACAGCAGGTGGTTACACCTCTGGTTACACCCCACAGCCCCAGGTCATGCCCGATCAATCCCCAGGTTTTTCTGGCCAGCCTCAGACGTCTATCGCTGGATATGCCCCCTCTGTGGGTGCAGGATATGGGTCCATGGGCTATGGGCAGGGTCAGACCCAAGAGGCATATGGGCAGGGGAAGCTGCAATCAATGTCACAGGCATATGGGCAAGGGCAGCCACAGATGCAGATGCATGGGCAGGGTCAGACCCAACACGCATATGGGCAGGGGCAGCTGCAATCAATGATGCAGGCACAAGGGCAGGAGCAGACTCAACTGACGATTGAGGCTCAGAGGCGGGGGTTCCAAGGTGCAGGAGGTTATGCACAGGGCAGTTATGCGCAGGCCTTTTCCCCAGTGCAGTCGCCTCCCATGCATTCGCAACCCTTCCCTCCCTCACAGGCGCATGGGCAGGGCCAGCCACCATCAATGATGCAGCCATATGGGCAGGGGCAGAATCAAGCCTCGATTCAGCCTCAGAGGCAGGGATTCCAGGCACCTGGGGGTTACGCACAGGCTTTCTCCCCTCAACAGTCCCCTCCCATGCCCTCACAACCCTTCCCTCCCTCACAGTCACAAACCTTCTCCCCAATACAGTCACAGCCCTTCCCTCCCTTGCAGCCCCACCATTACCAGTCCCCTCCCATACAGTCACAACCAGACGTTTCAATGGCAGCGGGAGCCTCGATCGGCGCAGGCAACCCCTTTGCTCTCTCGCCCGGCCCTACAAGGAGCTTTCATCGCCCTGGCAATGGCAGTGCCCTGAGTAATCTCGGAAACCCCATGGGGAGCCCCGGAAATCCTGTCAGAAGCCCAGGAGGTGCTATGGGGAGCCCAGGGGGTGCTATGGGGAGCCCAGGGGGTGCTATGGGGAGCCCAGGAAATGCAGTCTGGAGTCCTAGTGGTGTTATGGCAAGTTCTGGAAGTGTAGGCAGAAGCCCTGGAGGAGCCATGGGAAGTCAAGGAAATGCCAACTGGAGCGCGGGTAGTGTCATGGGAAGCCCTGGGAACCCCATGGGGAGCCCTGGGAACCCCATGGGGAGCCCTGGGAACACAGGCCGAAGCCCTGGAGGAGCCATGGGAAGCCCGGGACATGCCTTGTGGAGCCCTGCAGGCGGCATGGGAAGCCCTGGGGTTGGGCCATCTGCTCTAGGGTCTCCAGGACTGGTAGGTTTCCCTCACCCAGTAAAGCTGTTTTTCCCCTTTTTTGGGGTTTTTTTTTTGTCTTTTGTTTTCTTGCTTTGTTTTTTTTCCTGGTTTTTTTTCTCCTGGCGGCAAGTCTCAGATACTCTGTCTTGTCCCCCTCCGCACAGGCACCTTTCCCCAGCAGGGCATCACTAGTCGCTGCTCCCAATGCCACTCTAGCAGTCCAATTCCCGGTCCGCCCCGTTTATCTCCCCCTCATCTCTCCCATTCCCCTTTTCCTCACGCACCTTTCCCCAACATGGCATCACTAGGCGCTGCTGCTCCCAATGCCATTCTAAGAGGCCAATCCCCCCTCTCCCCCCACTCTCCTTCCCCTCATCTCTCCCATTCCCCTTCCCCACAGGCACCATTCCCCAACATGGCATCACTAGGGGCTGCTCTCAACAATACCGGGCCGTTTTCAGGGCTGGGCTGGGGAGGGATGGCGCCAGGAGCACACGCAGCTGTGGCACAAGCAGCCGTGGCAGCAGCGCCACCAGCAGCGCCACTCCCGTCATCAGCTGCCTATGCTTCTGAGGGGTACTGCCAAGGGCCAATGCAGCAAGGATCAGCTCTACAGGGATACCCGTTAGGCCCCATGCAGCAGATGCAGCAGCAGCAGGTGTACCAGCAACAGTCATCGTTCCACCAGCAGCAGTAGCAGGACAGCACTAGCAGGGGAGCATTAGCAGGGCAGCAGTAGCAGGACAACACTAGCAGGGGAGCATTAGCAGGGCAGCAGTAGCAGCGTCAGTAGCAGCATGCAGCAAGGTAACGCTGATGCAGCCAGCCTGTGCCAGCACAACCGAGATACCCGGTAGGCCCCATGCGACACATGCCACAGCACCCCATGCCCCATGTCATCACCATCATCATCAGCTGTAGCACTGCAGCAGTACCAGCTCGCTCACAGCAAATTAAATCCGTTGGGGCAAGGATGAGCACAGCAGTGAAGCCTGTGAGGACCTGTCAGCTCTTCCTCAAAAGCAATCACAGATTGGTAGGCTTGCACAGGAGTGAAGCCTGTCAGGGCCTGTAAGATCCATGGAATTGTCAACTCATATATATTTGTTGTTATAGGTTAGATGGGTGCATGCTTTTAGAGGGTACAACCCACTAGCATAAGAACACCTTGTATGCCCTTGTCTAGTTTCAATGCGTTTTTCTGAGATGGTATCAGATAGGTTAGGTCTACCCACTCGCGCTCCCACCCTAGCCCGCCCTAGTCCCGTCGCGCCGCCCTAGCCCGCCCGCTGGCCTTTCGCGCGCCGCTCGGCTCCTAGCCTATCGCTGGCCCCTAGCACGCCGCTGGCCCCTAGCTCGCCGCTGGCCCCTCGCTCGCCGCTGGCCCCTAGCTTGCCAGCGGCCCGCTGCTCGCCGGCCCTAGCTCGCCGACCCTAGCTCGTTGGCCCTCGCTCGCTGGCTCCGCTCGCCGGCCCTAGCTCGCCGGCCTCCGATCGCCGGCCCCAGCCTGCTGCCCCAGCTCGCCGGCCCCTGCTTGCCGGCTCCATCTCGCGCCGGCCCCAGCTCGCGCCGGCCCCAGCTCGTTGGCCCCTGCTAACAGGCCCCTGCTCGCTGGCCCCCGCTCAGCTCGCGCAGGCTCCCTTCTTGCCGCCGGCCCTGGTTCCACTCTGCGCCGGCGCTTTCGCCAGCTTTCTCCTCTGCCGCGGCTTCACCGCTCTCCAAAGCTCTCAACCGCTCTTCACCGCTCTTCACCGCACTCCACCGCTCCCCACCGCTCTCCACCGCTCTCCACGCCACTGCTCTGGTCTCTGACCTAGCCCGTCCTCAGTCCGCCGGGGGTGCACTGGCCCTTGGCAGTGACGTCCTAGAGGACAGGCAGTAGGAGCTAGCTTTCCTATCCGACGCCGCTCCTCATCTCTGCTCCATGCTGCTAGCCCCTGAGGGTGCCCAGATGCCCTTGACATCCCAACCCCTCGCACTTACGCTGAGGCGACCTCGGGACCCTGGGCCTCTCAATGGATAACTGCCATGGACGCGGAGATGGCATCTTGGAGATCCACCGGCACCTACGACGACATAGTTCCCCCACCTAGGGTGTGAAAGAATTTGAGTACGATTTTATCACAACAGGGTGAACAGAGTCTATGGTCGGTGGCTCTTCAAGATGAAGCGCCATCCTGGAGAGCCGCCGGTGTTCAAGGCGCCCTACGTTGCTAGAGGCTTTAGCCAGCGCGAGGGTGTTGACTTCTTTCAGACCTTCGCCCCGACCCCGAAGATGACCACTCTTCGGGCGCTGCTTCACATCGCAGCACAGCGCGACTACGACTGCACTTCCTCGACTTCTCTACAACGTTTCTCCAGGGCGGTATGCACGAGTAGATCTACATGCGCTGCCCGCCAGACTTCCCTGGCACTTTCCCTCCTAAGACCGAATGGTTCCTTTGGCGCCTGGTTTACGGTCTGCGGCAGGCGCCCCGGGAGCGGCACGACGCGCTGCGTGCTACGTTAGCGACCTTCAGTTCTTTCCATCCTGTGCTGACCCTTCGCTCTTCTTTCGCTCAGGCTAGACTCCGCTCTACATCCTAGTCTATGTAGACGACCTGGTCTTCACTACTGCAGACAAAGACGCAGAGCAGCGCGCACCATCACCCTCACACAGTCACACTTGGTGCGCCAGGCCCTTCAGAGGTTCGACCTTCAGGTCTCCTCTGCACAGCCTACACCCCTACCTGTAGACCACATTTTCTCGGCTCCAGTCCCTGACGAGTCGGTTGAGCCCAGTGGTCTGTACGCAGAGCTTGTGGGTTGCCTCATGTACCTGATGACTTGCACTCGTCCAGACCTCGCATACCCTTTTATTATCCTGGCTCGCTTTGTGGCGAAAGGCTGACACCGACCCAAGCACTGGTCGGTCACTAAGAGGGTTTTGCGCTATCTAGCAAGTACATCGGGCATGGGGCTAGTGCTAAGAGGACGCATGCTAGTGGTTCTCACAGGGCACACTGACGCTTCGTGGGCGGACGACGCTGAGACTCTCAGGTCCTCTCAAGGCTACTGCTTTAGCCTTGATGCAGGTGCCATCTCGTGGAGGTCCACCCGCTGGTCATCTGTTGCCCAGTCCAGCTGTGAGGCTGAGATCTACGCCGGTGCCATGGCCGCACAGGAGCTCCGCTGGCTGACGTTCTTGCTCATTGAGTTAGGTGAGCAGCCTAGCTCTGCACTGGCCCTGTATGCTGACAAGATGGGCATGATCCTCCTGTGTTAAGAGCCTCGACTAGAGGGCAGAGAGAAGCACATCTAGCTGTGGTACTTCCTCCTGCGCGAGCTGCAGCAGCGCCGCTAGACCCGCGTAGTACACTTAGCCTCCGGTGCCAACACAGCTCATATATTTACTAAGGCGCTTGCGCCTAAAGATCATCAGCGGCAGTGTGTACAGCTTGGTCTAGTCCTAGTAGCTCCTCACTTGCCAGTACCCTGATTGTGTTCTACGCATTATATTATCTTGACTAACCTTGTGGCTTTTGTCTTAGTGGAAGGACTAGTAGTATCGCCCTGAGTTACTCTTGTTATAGTTTGTACTCTTGCTGACTGGTCTTCGGACCCCTGCCTCAGAGGTTGGACTAGTAGTGCCGCCCTGAGCTGGAGTCTCTTGCTAGGCACTGCCCCTTATCTAGCCTAGGGGGTGTGTCAACTTATGCATATGCTTATATGTAGAAGTAATAGGCTAGATGGGTTTGTGTTCTCAGAGGGTACAACTCGAACCCTATGCAGTATGTTCCTTAAACTGCCTTATTCTAGTCACTTAAGTATTTTGAGAAAAAAGGGTTGACAATTCAGAAATGGTGGAGAAGCCGTCCGGACAATCTGTCCAGACGTGGGTGGTAACATGTTTCTTCGCATTTAGGGTCTCTGTCGCAAATAGACTGGCGACATTCTTCGCGAGGACTGGCGATTCAAGTTACCACTGATTTGTCCGGACAGTGGCTAGTTCCGGAACTGTATGTACCACACCCTTAGTGTTGGGTTGGGTGAGAAGTGTCAACTTATACATATTTCTATATGTACCAGTTATAGGTTAGAAGGGTTCATGCTCTTAGAGAGTACAACACCCAACCATATATTCCCTTGTATGCCTTCATTCTAGTCATTCGGTTACTCCAAGATGGTATCAGCTAGGTTAGGTCCGCCAACTCGTGCGTCTGCTCTAGCTGACCTAGCCCGCCCTAGCTCGCCGGCCCCGCGCTCGTTGGCCCCGCGCTCGCCGGCCCCTCGCTCTCCAGCCCCGCGCTCGGCGGCCCCTCGCTCAGCGGCCCCGCGCTCGCCGGCCCCGCGCTCGCCGCCCTCCCGCTCGCCGTCTCCTCACTCGCCGGCCCCGCGCTCGTCGGACCCTCGCTCGCCGGCCCCGCGCTCGCGGGACCCTCTCTCGCCGGCCCCGCGCTCGCAGGCCCCTTGCTCGCGGGCCCCGCGCTTGCTGGCCCCGCGCTCGTCGGCCCCTCGCTCGCCAGCCCCGCGCTCACCGGCCCCGCGCTCGCCGACCCCTCGCTCGCCGGCCCCTTGCTTGCCGGCCCCTCGCTAGCCGGCCCCTCGCTCGCCGGCCCCTCGCTCGCCGGCCCCTAGCTCGCCGTCCCCTAGCTTGCTCACTGCCCCTCGCGTGCTCGCTGGCCCCAGCTCGCCGTCCCCAGTTCGCGCCGGCCCCCAGTTCGCGCCAACCCCCGTTAGAGCCGGCCCCCGTTTAAGCCGGTTCCGGTCCCGCCGGCCCCTGCTCCTGCCACCCCAGCTCGCCGTGCTGCCGTGCCGCAATGCTGCTGGGCCGCTGGGCCTCTGTGCCGCCGTGCCGCTGGGTTGCCGTATTGCCATGTTGTCGTGCCGTCGTTTCGCCATCAGCCACTGCGGCCGTGGTAATAGCGGACGCTGTGCTCCGCCTGGACGCGGAGGGTCGTGCGGTCGACTTCAAGGCGTGGCTCGCCGACCTCTGCCATCAGCTGAAGGGTCAGCGCCAGGACGGCTAGTCCTTGGCCGTCCACGTCGACCCACCTGCAGCCCTCCCTAACGCCCCCACGCCTGCTGAGCGTGAGGCCTTAACAGCTGCTGAGCTCGCCCGCTCTGTCTGGGAGTTGCGCGACGCAGTTTCTTAGCTTGCTATTAGTTACGCCCTCCCCTTGGCCGAGCGTCCCCGCTTTCAGACGGTAGAGACTTCGCAGGACTACTTAGATACTATCATTGCGCGCCATTCCACTCCCTCCTCCGCCTCTGCTAGCGGTCTCCTGCTCCCCCTGCTCTTTCCTGATCTTGCGTCCTTACCCACTGTCGCTGATCTTGCAACTCACCTGCGCACTCTTGAGACTCGCTACCGCACTGCTAGCACTAAGGCCAAGCTCACTAAACTGCCTCCCCCCCTCGGCGCTACCTTGTACTTTCTTGCCACGCGCCTTCCCGACCGCCGAGCCACTGCCCGCGAGCACTTCCTAACCTCTCCAGCAGCAGCGGCTCTCCAGGTTGCCTCTATTCGCAGCCTTGACTACACTACTGCTCTGGTCTCCGACCCTGCCCATCCTCCGTCCGTCGGGGGTACACCTGCCCTTGGCAGTGACGTCCTAGAGGACAGGTGGTACGAGCTAGCTTTCCGGTCCGAGGCTGCTCCTCATCTCTGCTCCATGCTGCTAGTCCCTGAGGGTGACCCAAACGCCCATGACATCCCAACCCATCGCACTTACGCTGAGGCGACCTCAGGACTTTGGGCTTCTCAGAGGATAGCTGCCATGGACACGTAGATGGCATCCTGGAGATCCACCGGCACCTACGTCGACGCAGTTCCCCCACCTGGGGTGAACGTAGTCGATGACCGGGGGCTCTTCAAGGTGAAGCGCCCTCCTGGAGAGCCGCCAATGTTCAAGGCGCCCTACGTTGCTAGAGGCTTCAGTTAGCATGAGGGTGTTGACTTCTTTCAAATCTTCGACCCGACCCTGAAGATGACCACTTTTCAGGCGCTGCTTCACGTAGCAGCACAACGCGACTCCACATCGTTTCTCCAGGGCAGTCTGCACGAGTAGGTCTACCTACGCTGACCGCCAAGCTTCTCCGGCTCTTTCTCTCCTAGGACCGAGTGGCTCCCCCGGCGCCCAGTTTACGGCCTGCGTCAGGCGCCCCGCGAGTGGCATGACACGCTGCGTGCTACGTTAGTAGACCTGCAGTTCTTCTCG